AATGAATAGATAGGTTATCATCAAGTGATCCATGCCCTGTCACCCAATCCCAGCTTCTGGCAAACAGAGGCTAGGGACACCATTCCTGCCCATCCTGGCTAATAACCATTGATGGACCTATCTTCCATGAATCTATCTAGCTCCCTTTTGAACCCCATTATAGTATTGACCTTCACAACACCCTCTGACAAGGAGTTCTAGAGGCTGACAGTGTGTTGCGTGAAAAAATACTTTCCTGTGTTTGTTTTAAACCTGCTACCTATTAATTCCATTTGGTGGCCCCTGGTTCTTGTATTATGAGAAGGAGTAAATAACACTTCCTTATTCCTTCATAATGTTATCTCCAGCATAAAAACTACCTTACCCAGAATCATGTGTGTTGGCCACACATGCATCAGCCTCTTGTGTTCTCTCTGAGTCAGTGACAGACACTCAGGGCCGGCGCTTCCATTTAGGTGACCGGCACCAGGATTTGGGGGGTGGCAATTTGGCGGCGGGGGGTCCTTCCACGTGCCAGGTCTTCGGCGGCAATTCTGCGGCGGGTCCTTCACTCGCTCCGGGACCCGCCGACGAAGTGTCCCAAAGACCGGGAGCGCGGCAGGACACCCCCCCCCACCGCAGAATTGACGACAACGACCAGGAGCATGGAAGGACCCCCGCCTAGGGTGCCAAAAACCCTGGCGCCACTCCTGCAGACACTAATACGCTGTGTGGCTGACACACAAGATTCTGGGTAACGTAGTTGATCTTTGCTATGCTTCTGCCAATGGGAGCGTGGGAGGGGCAGCGTCGGCCGCCAATGGTAGGACAAGGGGAGTATGAAGCGGGGGGCATGGTAGTGAAAGCGTAGAGCCCAGGCAGCGCAAGGTAGAGGCAGATACTGGTAGGTGGGTCGGAAGGTCAGTATGTCAGGGAGGGGATTATGCCCCACTCTTCTCCAGGCCTTGACTGCAGGAGCAAGAGGATGGATGGCGAAGGTTCAGGGATGGAGAACAGCCCCTCTCACCTAGGGCCTCAATGCAGCAAGGGGGGTTCAGAGATCAGGCAGGGTGGTTCATGCCCCATTCTCCCCAGGCTTTCTGGTACAGCAGGAGGGGGATGAAGGATGTCCCCTCCTCTTTCAGGACACAGTGGAGCAGGGAGGGAGTGGGCCCAAGGGGTTTTGTTCTGCTGCAAGCATCTTGCCAAGAGCGAGCATCTTGTCTCCACTTTACCAGGTGTAACTATGGCCATGCCTCCCTGACCACTGCCAACAGCCATGTTTACTATAGCCCCACTGGGGTGGGGCCCAGAGGAGGAGGCAGCTGGAACTCTGCTCACCTTGTTGTGTACTCTATAGAGTACAGGGCAGTGCACTGAGTGGGATGAGAAAGATGGAAAGATATTAGTGGAGGGGCTGTGGGGACATTGGAGGGATGGGATGCCCCTGGAAGGTAATCTGAAAAATGTTGGCCAGTATGCTGGTGACCTAGGATGAAAGGCAATTACCTGTCCCATACACCATCTAGTAATGGGCTTTTCAAGTCAATTAACCCTTTGAGTGAAGACGACTATTAGCTCTCCAAAATGAAAGCAACAGCACAAAGAGGGTTTCATCTTTTCAGCTGAGTGATCTACTGATAAACCCACAGCACAGGGTTTGGTTTCAATTTAGGTGTGCATGTGACTACAGCACATTAAACTGTCTGCCTACAGGGAATTGAAATTTCCAAGAATCTTAAATATTTAATCCCTGGATTGCTTGCAATAATGAAGCCAGTGTGGAACAGAAGACATAGCACAACATGAACACATTTGCTTGTGCCAAAAGCAAAAACACCCTTCCTACGGCATCACTGAACCAAAAGCAAGTAGAGAGAGAGAGAGAGAGAGAAAATAAAGAAGGTATTTTTTAGAATGTTTTTTAGAAATAAAGCTTTCCACCTACTGTTTAACACACCCTTACTTAGAGTAGGAAGATAAGGACCCTGCTTTGAGGGGTCCACATAGCGGACCACAATCTAATAAGGAGGCTCTCAGGGATCACCCTCCCATTCCTGATAGTAAGGATAACCCTGATTCATGATTGTATAATATTTTCCTGTAGCAAGTACAGGAAATTGCACACATGGAACAGTAATATTAGGAAATTATTTGATTATTTTAGCTCCTTTTAATGTGATACAGCAGCTAGAAGGAATGAGGAATGTCAACATGATGTGACCAGTCACTTCTCCGTGGACCACCAGCAAGCGCACAGGGGACCACGAGGGTGCACAGATCGCAGTCTGAGAACATCTGCCTTAGTTCAAATATTGCTTTCATTTATCATTAACACATCTATTACAAAAATCAAGAGTACAATGTTGAACTGTTAATTCCTAGAAGGTACCAAAAAGTTTTGTAGTAACAATTCATTACTAAACACAATTTGAATGAAAAATTATCTAAAATAATTCTTATGAAAGTAGCTATCAGAGAACATATTAAAAATAATAGAACAAGAATAAGCTGTATAAATGGAAAAAGAGGTATATGTACCAAGTGAACTGGCATATGGTAGCAAAAATATTCTCCTGTTTTAATACATTGTAGGAGTTACTGCTGCTTATTTTTTTTCCCTTTTAAAGGTTAAAACAAGCAAGTTAAACACAAACATATTTATATGTAAAATATGCACATGCACATAAGAAATGCATATTGCAAACACTACTTTTACAAAAGGCTTCCACATTCATTGTCAACCATTTGGATCATTTCAGTATCTATTCAGTCTACATGGATACTGAGTTTGTAAAACATTTACATTGTTGCCTGTAGTTAACATACATGAAGTGTTTATTAAAATCTGAAAAAAGTAAATACAAAATCTATATTTTGTAGTATATAAATAATCAGAATATTTAACTCCTGTCTAACTAGTACTTTTCATGCATAGATCTCAAAGTGCTTTACAAAAGAAGGTCAGTATTAATATCCCCATCTTACAGATACGGAAATTGAGGCACACAGCCATGATGTGACCAGTAGAGTTGGGGTTAGAATCCAGATCTCTTGTCCCAGAATCCATTGTTGAGTGCACCAGACCACACTGCCTTTGCCTTCACCAAGTAAAAAGTGTTTTTGACTAAATAGTTACAACAAATTTTAATTTCGTTGTAAAAATCAACAAACTGTATAAAATCCTCTCAATTTTATAAACTGCTTGTTACTTTCTATAAGATGACAAACATTCTAAGGGTATGATCCTGCAGTCCCTAGACAGGCAGCGAATGCAAACGCAGTCTCTATGTGGTTTATTTTTGCTGGATGCGCACACTGAACTTTCCTGAGTTGAGAAACCATTCTGGGAAGAACAGAACCCTCACCCTGCTTTACTATAATATATAATCACATTCTAGTTTTGATGTATTTGTAGTTCCTTATTTTGATAACATTTTACTATACATAATTTTCAAGACTATTTATGATCAATTAGGCTTTTCACAAAGTGAGAGTTCTTACCTCTCCACAGCGTTGTTTTGCCAATTCTTCTAGTTTGGATTTTAACAAATCAATGTTTTCATTTGACAAACCTTTCGCATTTTTCAGCTGTATTTCAGGGACACTGGAGAAAAAAGATCACAAGAAATGTTCTCTTATTAAGGATAAGGTGTACAGACAGATAAGGAGACCCATATAGGCCACATGACAGGTCAATAAGAACTTTTTTTTTCTTTTCTTTTTTTTCAGGAACCCGACCATTGTCATTCAACACTCAAACAAGTAATACTCTATCTACAAACATGATTATAAAAAAGTTCTGCTTTATATTCAACATAATCTGAATTGCTTGCACACAAATACTCAACAGTTTCAACTAGCAGAACCACCATCAGGGTAACCCCACAGTTTGTGACAACTACAGTTCTAGCTCAATACATTATTTTTTTTAAAGGGATGTACTGAAAATGCAGTACATATTTCTAGCATAAGATATGGCAGTTTTGGATTTGCTGATTTTCCTTTTTCTTTATGTAAGCAATATATAATTAGTCTGAGGAATACACTGCAATAAAGTACATTCAGATAAATAACCAACATTTTTTAAAAGCTGAGACATTTATAGGAGTAAGAAAAACATCTGCAGTTATACTATCTTAAACAAAAATTATAATGGTTATCAAGCCTCAAGCTTCAGGGTATAATGAAATCATCACTTGGTCAGGAACAACATTTCCCTTCCCATATGTTAGATCATTGCACAACTGGGCATACTATTTTTCTTTGAGGTATCTGACACTGGCCACTGTTGGAGGCAGATGGACTACTGAAGTGTTCTGACACAACAATACTTGTCCAGAAAATTACTAGGCCAAATCCCAGTAGCGGCTGATCACCCACAACAACAACCCTTTTCATAATTCAAAGGAAATATCCATTAGCCCTCCAAAAGGCTAATTCGGCACAATACAGGACCAGCAGATGATAGAACTATGATAAGATGACAGTTTTAAAGTTGAAGATTTTGTTCCCCATTCAGCAAGGTACTGTGTTAACATTAAATTCATGAGTTGTCTCAATGATTTCAGTGGAAATACTCACATGTTTAAAGTTACATATAGCTTAAATATCTTGCTGAATTAGTGCCTAAATCTCCAATTGGCAGATGCATCTCTATTACTCACTGGCAGCTACATCACAGAAGGGATGAGGATACTTCTATCTCAGATACATGTTTTCGGATGGATTAATTATAGAGATAAGGTTACCCACTTTTATACTTCAACACTATATGTCTAACGAATAGAGACACATTTAAATCAAGGCAAGAATAAGGGCAATGAACACAATGTTACACTTCAACTTTCATTTTTGTCAAGGAGAGAATAGAGAAAATATTAGAAGACTATATTTTGATTTTCACTCACGTATCAGGATAGGTTTGGGGACATTTGACCCACAAATCAACTTTGGCATAAACTTCATTGTCACCTGTCAAACCCTGAGGACGCAGAACTAAACTGATTTCCGGAGGCTGTTTTACCTAAAATATAAAACAAGACTTTTAATTTAAGCAGGAACATCCCATCCTGTGTTATGGAGGAGGTCAGACTAGATGATCCCAATGATCCCTCCTGGCCTTAAAAATCTATGAATTTATTTACAATTGATTAGTGAACATGTGAACTAACTCCATTGATTATCCTATTTTAAACAGTTCAACCTTAGTTTATCCGGCCTATGTGGGAAGATTCATGGAATAAGTGGAGATAGAGATATTCTGAAGAAGTAGTGTCCTACCATGGGTCATATTTAGGTAAGAGGGAGTTCTGGGATTAATGGGTGAGGTTAAACAGTGGGTCACTATATTTTAAATGGAGAAAGGTATGTGAAAAGTGACTGGCATTTTTTTTAAATGAATGGAATTTAGAGTTATTTGTGGAATGTCACAAACAGCAAGTTAGAGGGGCATTCCACAAAGAAAGAAATCTAAACTTACGCTTAGGCCTTGTCTACACTGCCACTTTACAGCACTGCAACTTTCTTGCTCAGGAGTGTGAAAAAACACCCCCTGAGCGCCGCAAGTTTCAGCGCTGTAAAGTGGCAGTGTAGACAGTGCTCCCAGTGCTGCTAGCTATTCCCCTCGTGGAGGTGGTTTTTTTAAAGTGCTGGGAGAGCCATGACTACACTGCCACAGTTGTTAGTGAAGACATGCCCTCAGTGTTAAGCCTTCACAGCTACCATATAACCCTGCTAGAGCACAGAGATGGAGCTTTTTTATTTTAGGCATATTGGCAGAGTTTTGCTAACTACTATTTTCTTTCTTTCCTTTTCAGTTTTTTTAAACAGTCTTTGTAAACTGACTTCAAAGTAAAGTGGAAAAAGTACACAAACTTTTTGACACTGGGAGTCTGGATTTACTGAGGAGAAAAGCCAGAAGAAAAGTGAGTCATAGATGACAAACATGGTGGTACAAAGGAAAGAAGAGCTAGCTGGAATGACAAAGGAAGAGCGACAAGAGGAAAACACAGGCTAGAAACATTCCAACGCCCCCACCATGTTCCTCAGGGCCAGGAGTGTATGGGCTTGTCTACATGGGGACACTCAGGAAAGTTAATGTGAATCAACTAAAGGTGTGAAGTTAATGCACATAAGTTAAAATATGTTAAACTACCTGTGGATTCTCTATTCAGGAGTAAAGTAGCCTTAGTTCACTATAATTTAGGAAGGATTAAGTCCATATTGAAAATATCCACCTCAAGTTTCAGTGAGAATCAAGAGATATGGGGAGTGGCAGATATAAAAGGTCAGGGATGGCAGTGATACTTTCAGAGACACTGCAGGTACTCCTGAGTAGCAAAAGAAGGGAACAGGCATGGGTAGGGATAAGTGAGGTTGGAAGTGGCGAGTCCAGCAGAGAAGTTTGTAGGAGTTGGGAACGGTAGAAAGGAATGGCCAGGGCTGAGATGATATCACTGGAGGTGAGGAGGAAGCAGCAGAGAATATGTGGGAAGAGACTATGACATCTAGAAGGGGAATGGAAAGAATTAGAGAAGAGTAGGGGACTGGTCATGATATTAATCAATCAGTTATCCTAAGAAACAATTATTGTGAAATTGAAAGTTAGTGTGAGCCAAATAATCAGGGAAATATTATATGGTGAATCAATTATAGCATGCAACAAATATGCAGAGAAACAACAGTAATATGAATCAATGCAGAGAACCAGTTATGAGGTGAGTCAAGTAAGCAAATAGGTATGTAATTAATCTATTAAGGAATTAATCAACTACAGAGGAAATAAGAATGCTGACAATTAATTAAAAAGCAAATCACATATGCAGAGTATTAATTATAGACAGAATTAAAAAAGGGTGGTGAGGATTAATTATAAAGTCAGTTATATAGAGGGCCATCAAAGAATTGGAAGACAATGGGCGACCAGTAAGGAGGCTGAATGCTTCTGGTGTTCTTGAGAAATCAAGGACTTGGTGATGTCAGCAACCACATTCTAAAAATGTTCTGAAGGCATGCCCTGCTCAAAGGGAGAAATGGTGGCTGATCTTGGCAGGGCAATGATGTGCCTCTCTCAAAAGACTGCTGAGAGACTAGCTAGGGTGAGAGAACTGAGTTACTCAAATAGGGAAAACAGTGAGGCTTTACCTCCTAGTTTAATCTAGGAGTTACTCAGACCATCACAAGAGAACCACCACCAAAACTTTGTTAATCATGAATAAAGGTATATTTGTTAAGGATCATATGAGTTTAAAGACAGTTTACACAGCACACAATCAGTATTTTTATACACAGAACTGTCAGTTTAGCAGCAACCTTTGTGGGGAGCCAGTAATAAAAAGTTCTAAGTGACAGTCCAAAATGATCTGTACTTTACATAGGCTTCTGGAAGAGATGGATGACATTAATTATACAGCATAAGAGTGGAATTATCATATACAAAAATGTATCAGTTTAGCAGCTGCAGGTGAGGATGGGAGGGGCTTTCCTTTAAAGTCAACCCCAAATTATCCTTTTATTTCACTTACATCATTCTAGAACATGCAGGTGATAATAATTCCCTGGTGCCATTAAGTAAGTGTCATACACAGATATCTTAGGTTAGCATCAGCTTGATGGGGAGGGAGTGCCAGGGAAACGCATTCTTTCCTTGATAGATAATGTCCATTAGTTATGTTTAGAAATAGCTCTTGGGAGAAGAACAACGGGACAATTCCCTTTGGTCATCCCAGATCCCTATTAACAGTCTTGCTCATTTCTGTTTAATGATTACTATATACAGAACTCTCAAGTGGAGTTCCAGATAGAGGAAAGGAAGAAATCCATTTTAGCCTTTACTACACTAGAGAATTTTAGCAAAAACTTCCCACCAACTTTCAGTGGTAGCACCCGTGGCAACCCTAGTCTACACAAGGGGTCAGCAGCTTCTTAGTTAATTGTATTAATTCAATTCAATATTAAAGCTGCTCCTTGAAAAGTTTAATTAATTAATACTGTGATAGAAAGCCCAGCACTGGCTTGAGTTTTGGCTATAGCATGCAGTTAAACAGGAGATTATTTTTGCTACACCTCCCTAGCATAAACGTGGCCTGAGAAGTCTGTCTGCTCAGTTTATCATTATTGTTTTAACTTTCCACTGCTCCTGTAGTGCCAAACCAGTGCTGGTAATGCTAGCGGGGACAGGCCCTGCCGCTTACACCCTGCTCCGCAGGGGAAGTAAGAAACCCTTTGCCAGGTTTCCAAGAAAGGTCCCTCTGGTGCATGGAGCTGCGCTGGGGGGACACGCTCAGAACCTTGCAGTGCAGCGGTAGCTACAGACGCCTGCCTGACAGCGTGCCAGGAACAAGGCTCCCTCCTTTTACCTCCCACGGGGCTCTCACGTTAGCACCAGCTCCGGGGCTGCAAGGGAAGGGAGCAGCGCACATCTGGCTGGGCAGGCCAAGCAGGGACCGCCTTGCGTGCTGTGCGAGAGGATGTGGGTTAGCTCAAGCAGTGGCAACGCCCCCTCCATGCAGGTCTATGTGGAGAGCAGCAGAGCGACGCGGGGTCGAGGCAGGGGGGGGGGCAGGAAAGGGCCCCCGGGTGGGGGGGTCTGTACGGTAACCCCGCCCTAGGCTCCTCGGAAGAGGGGAAGGGCAGGGCAAGGGGACACCCCAGCAGGACACAGTTTTTGTCGCAGCAGTGCCAGGTTACCCGAGCTCCCTTCAGGGCTCCCCACCCCACGCGCCGGGCTGCCTGCGGGCGGCGGGGGCTCGGCCAGGCACCCACCCGGCCGCCCCACGCGCCGCGCTCCCTGCGGGCGGCGGGGGCTCGGCCAGGCACCCACCCGGCCGCCCCACGCGCCGGGCTGCCTCAGGCCGCGCGGCTCGCTACCTTCCAGGGCCGCTCCTGCCGCAGGTCTCGGAAGTCCTGTCCGTAGATGGACTCCAGCACCTGCAGCTCGTTCTCCTGGCGGAGCGGGTAACTCTCCGGGGCCTCCTCCGCCGCCGGCGCGCCGCTCACCCGGGCCATGTCAGCTCTGGCAGCGGGAGCCGCTGCTAGCCATGGCAGGGCCGCCGCCAAGCACTGGCCGCACCGGGCGCCTGCCACCGTGGAGGCGGCAGAGGCCCCAGCGAGAGCGCGGCCCTTCCACCTTGGGAGCCGGGCTCTGCTGCAGGCCCCACCCGCCGCTGGTGCTGCCCCCCGCGGTGGCAGGAGGAGCCGCCGCCTCTCAGGCCCTGTAAAACGAGGGCCTCACGGCCTCCTCCCTACAGCTCAGCCTCGGGACATGTCCTGACATTTGCACAGCGCTTCTCCACCTCAGCCCTGATACTCCCAGACCCCGTCTGACAGATGAAGGGGAAAGGAAAGAACAAGACTGGAGCACCCGCGGGGGAAATGATACTCTGAACTTTACTAGAACTGGCTCTCCAAAAGTCCTCAGTCTAAGATTGTAAATATTTCAAAGTCTGTTAGGTAAACGGATAGTTTCTAGTGTTTATGAACCCTAGAGACTTCTCATACACTTTCTTTTGGGGGTGTGGGCACAATTAAGATCGCAGCCCCATTTTGCTAGGTGCTGCATGAATACACAGGAAGACGTGGTCCCAGCCCCAGAAGCTTAATAAAATTATATTTCATGCAGTGCATAGCCAAGTTTCAAAGCTGTATTAAGTTCATGTTCAGCTGTAAACTTTTGAAAGACCAAACCTAACATTTTGCATTTACAAACAATCTCCATTCCTTGAGGTGTTGGTAACGCTGAGGTTCCACTGTATTTTTAAGGTGCTTAGCTAGCCTCAGATGAAAATAATTATAGAATGGCAAAGTATGGTTACTATTAATAAAGACTATATTGTGCAAAATCTTGTTACATTGAAGAGCTGTTAATTCATAAAATCTTATTATTCCTTAATATAAGGAAACGAGATAAAATTCGGTAGACATCAAAATCATTGCAGAAGCAATTGTTATATTTCAGAAGCAAGAATCACTTAAAACTGCAGATAATTATCATGCCTGCTCTGTCCTGACACATTTTTCTCAGTGCTCCTAGTGTATCTCTGCAGATCTTTCTAGGGATAGGCACCAATTCTGTGCCTGCTCCGGGGCTGGAGTACCTGACCCACTGAAAAAAAAATAGTGGGTGCTCAGCACCCACTGGTGGGCCCTACTGATCAGCTCCTCCCCTTTTCCCCCAGCACCTTCTGCCCACTGCTGATCAGATGTTCAGCAGCGGGCAGGAGGCGCTGGGGGGATATGGGGAGAAGCAGGGGCAGGAAGAGGCAGAGCGAGGGGGAGGAGGCTGGGAGGGGTGGGGGCGGAGTGGGCACAGCAAGAGGCGGGGCTGGAGCAAGGTAGGGGTGGGAAGGGCCTGGGGCAGAGCGTGGGTGGAGCACCCCTGGGAAATCAGAAAATTGGTGCCTATGTTTCTGGGCATGCAGGAGTTGGACACGCATTCTGCACTCTTTTCCTTTTCCAGGTAGTTACAACTCCAGGTAGTAAGACTCACCAGCAGGTACTAGACAGCTACCCTCTAATGCCTTCTTATATAAGGAATAGCAGAATGTGCCATTTGGTAGTAGTTGTCTCCAGGGAATAAACAGAAGTGTAAATATTTGCATCAGTCCCTCTTTATTTTCTGTGAAAAAATATTTATATACAGAAATATATACAGGAATAATGAATAAATGGACATAGCCTTCTTTAGACACAATATAGCAGACAAGTGAGTTTACTGCAAAAGTCATTTATTTAGCTGCAAACTTAAGTGGCATATGACAAATATGGCAATTTCCTGCAATATCTTTGGGAGATCTTACTAGTTTATGTATCATTGTGGGCCATGAGTGAATGTAATTCCATTAGGGAGGGGGACCACAGCCCTCCAGGAACTAAGAAGAGTGTGGAGGGTTGTAACAGCTGGGGTCCAGACACCCCCATTGGAGAGCAGAAGCTCTAACCTCCTCCCCCCAAAAAATAACCAGTTAAATCAACCGATTGTATGCAAGAGAGACAAGGTAATATCTTTTATCGGAGCAACTTCTGTTGAGAGAGACAAACTTTCGAGCTTCAGGTCTAGAGACCCAAAGAAGAGTTCTGTGTAAGCTTGAAAGTCTGTCTCTCTCACCAACAGAAGTTGGTACAATAAAAGATGTTACCTCACTCGTCTTTCTAATATCCTGGACCAACACAAGTACAACACTGCATCTGACAGTTGTATACAATATTATTGTACTATAACACATACTGAGTAAGGTCTTTTATGAAAGGTTGTAATGTTCTGAACTTGATGGTCATTATAAGTTATGAATACAGACTATGGTTATGAATGTATACATGGGCATATAGAGAAAATTATACATTTTAACTGTGGTACAACTTTAGCATCATCTCACAACAGGACAGTGAAGCAATCAGGCAGGGAGGTACTACACCTCTACCCCGATATAACGCGACCCGATATAACATGAATTCTGATATAACGCAGTAAAGCAGCGCTCTGGGGGGGCGGGGCTGCGCACTCCGGCAGATCAAAGCAAGTTCGATATAACGCGGTAAGATTTTTTGGCTCCTGAGGACAGCGTTATATCGGGGTAGAGGTGTACCTCCCAAACCAGTTGTTTACATGAAACCAGCTTCAAGTACCCATTCCCTGTACAACCCAGGAAAAGTCTAGGATGGGCCATTAAAGTTAATAGAAAGACATTGTGACAACTGGGGATTTCCCCACTTTGAATAGGTATAGTGACTAAAGAAAAAAAAAAAAAACCCTGCAAACCCTTTTAAAATGGAAGGAGTTTGAAGTGAAAGACATCCAGAAACGGAGGGACAGCCTCTAGGCAGGAAGCTGTCAGTGAAACGTTGGATCTGTCCTATAGTTAAAGATCTATAGGATCTGTTCAAAGGCGTTAGGTAACTTGTATTAGAAAAGGGAATTCATCTAACATGGAAGTGTAAAGCCTGTGGTTGCATCTTTATGTTTATTTACTGTGTAATTTGTATGTATTTGCTTTCCCTTACTATTTTGTCTTTGCATCTGTGGTTTTTCTATTAAATAAACCTTTTGTTTATTTTTACCCCAAGCACATCTCTGGTGTGGAAACTAGGTGGAGTTTGGGGACCAAAGTAAGCTGGTATCTGAGGAGCTGGTTTCATGCCATAGGGGGTGATGAACCGAACAGGAAAAGTCTGAGTGTCTGATAGTTAAAAGAACTCAGGGAGGACAAATTTGTAGAAACTTGGGACTGGAAGGGCTGTTGGTGTCATTTTGCAAGGAGTAACTAGGCTGGGGAAGCCAGACTGAGACCTTGTGCTTGTGGGAAGACTATTCTTTTATACTCCTTCTTAGCAATTTGTCCATGTTTTCACTTTGTGTAAGATTTCTTTTTGATTTTCAGGTTGTTAAAGAGCTATATACTTTAACATGAAGTAAGTATGGCTTACCCCATGTAATTTTAATATACATTAAATCAATGGACTTTACTTATGTGGCATATACAGAATAGGATAGAGTGCTAAAAATTAAACATGTGTATGTAATGTTGTAGAAAAAAAATGTTTCATATTGCATAATTAAAGGCAGGGCTGATAGCACCACATATTAAGGTTGCCCAGCATTTCCTATCATAAGACCCTGTTTTCAGTTGCTTATAACTTTGCTAAACGGTAACCATTCAGGTTGAAATTTTCCATGCTAGATGTCTGTCTCACACGGAATGAAAAGTTTCAGTCAAAATGGTTCTGCCATTTCTGAGGGCAAGGCTAGTTAAAAATACATTGTTTTGCCCGTGTAAAAAAAATTCTAGTGACCTTTTCTTTGAGAAGCTCTAATGCCCCCATGCTTTGTAGTAAGAACTTAAAATGTGGTGTGGGGGTGGCCTTTGTCTCAAGGGTATGCCTTTTGCTATAACTGTGAAAATCTGCCCAACTTTGTCCAAGTTACAAACCTTTGAAAAGCTGTAGTTTGCACATGCTCAGAAGAGACTTGTTCGAGGTTGAAAATCTCTGAAAATTCCATCTTAGAATCATAGACTTTAAGGTCAGAAGGGACCATTGTGATCATCTAGTCTGACCTCCTGCACAACGCAGGCTACAGAATCTCACCCACCCACTCCTGTATCAAACCTGTGTCTGAGCCATTGAAGTCCTCAAATCATGGTTTAAAGACTTCAAGATGCAGAGAATCTTCCAGCAAGTGACCCGTGCCCCATGCTGCAGAGGAAAGCGAAAAACCCCCAGGGCCTCTGCCAATCTGCCCTGGAGGAAAATTCCTTCCCGACCCCAAATATGGTGATCAGCTAAACCCTGAGCATGTGGGCAAGACTCACTAGCCAGACACCCAGGAAAGAATTCTCTGTAGTAACTCAGATCCCACCCCATCTAACATCCCATCACAAGCCATTGGGCATACTTACCATTAATAGTCAAAGACCAATTAATTGCCAAAATTAGACTATCCCATTATACCATCCCCTCCATAAATTTATCAAGCTTAGTCTTAAAGCCAGATATGTCTTTTGCCCCCACTGCTCCCCTTGGAAGGCTGTTCCAGAACTTCACTCCTCTGATGGTTAGAAACCTTTGTCTAATTTCAAGTCTAAACTTCCTGATGGCCAGTTTATATCCATTTGTTCTTGTGTCCATATTGGTACTGAGCTTAAATAATTCCTCTCCCTCCCTGGTATTTATTCCTCTGATATATTTGTAGAGAGCAATCATATCTCCCCTCAGCCTTCTTTTGGTTAGGTTAAACAAGCCAAGCTCTTTGAGTCTCCTTTCATAAGACAGGTTTTCCATTCCTCGGATCATCCTAGTAGCCCTTCTCTGTACCTCTTCCAGTTTGAATTCATCCTTCTTAAACATGGGAGACCAGAACTGCACACAGTATTCCAGATGAGGTCTCACCAGTGCCTTGTATAACGGTACTAACACCTCCTTATCTCTACTGGAAATACCTCGCCTGATGCATCCCAAGACCGCATTAGCTTTTTTCACAGCCATATCACATTGGCGGCTCATAGTCATCCTGTGATCAACCTACTCTGAGGTCCTTCTCCTCCTCTGTTACTTCCAACTGATGCGTCCCCAGTTTATAACAATAATTCTTGTTACCTTCTCAAAGAAGGAGATCAGGTTGGTTTGGCATGATCTACCTTTTGTAAAACCATGTTGTAATTTGTCCCAATTACCATCGACCTCAATATCCTTAACTACTTTCTCCTTCAAATTTTTCCCCCCCAAGATCTTGCATACTACAGATGTCAAACTAACAGGCCTGTAGTTGCCCGGATCACTTTCCCCCCCTTTCTTAAAGATAAGGACTATGTTAGCAATTCTCCAGTCATATGGTACAAACCCTGAGTTTACAGATTCATTCAATATTCTTGCTAATGGGCTTTCAATTTCATGTGCCAGTTCCTTTATTATTCTTGGATGAAGATTATCTGGGCCCCCCGATTTAGTCTCATTAAGCTGTTCGAGTTTGGCTTCTACCTCGGGTGTGGTCATATCTACCTCCATATCTTCATTCCCATTTGTCATCCTACCATTATCCCTAAGCTCCTTATTAGCCTCATTAAAGACTGAGGCAAAGTATTTGTTTAGATATTGGGCCATGCCTAGATTATCCTTAACCTCCACTCCATCCTCAGTGTTTAGCGGTCCCACTTCTTTCTTTTCTTCTTATTTATATGGCTATAGAACCTTTTACTATTGGTTTTAATTCCCTTTGCAAGGTCCAACTCTACATGGCTTTTGGCCTGTCTCACTTTATCCCTACATGTTCTGACCTCAATAAGATAGCTTTCCTTGCTGATCACTCCCATCTTCCACTCCTTGTAGGCTTTCTGCTTTTTCTTAATCACCTCTCTGAGATGCTTGCTCATACAGCTTGGTCTACGACTCCTGCCTATGAATTTTTTCCCCTTTCTTGGGATGCAGGCTTCTGATAGTTTCTGCAACTTTGACTTGAAGTAATTCCAGGCCTCCTCCACCTTTAGATCCCCAAGTTCTTCAGTCCAATCCACTTCCCTAACTAATTTCCTTAATTTTTTAAAGTTAGTCCTTTTGAAATTAAAATCCCTAGTCACAGATCTATTTTTGTTTATCCTTCCATTTAATTTAAACTGAATTAGCTCATGATCGCTCAAACCAAGGTTCTCCCCTACAACCATTTCTTCTATGAGGTCCTCACTACTCACCAAAACCAAATCTAAAATGGCATCCCTTCTTGTTGGTTCAGCAATTACTTGGTGAAGGAATCCATCGGCTATTGCATCTAGGAAAATCTGAGCCCTATTATTATTACTGGCACTTGTCCTCCAGTCTATATCTGAGAAGTTAAAGTCTCCCATGATCACACAATTCCTATTAGTATTTACTTCATTAAAAAGGTCTCTATCCATATCCAAATCAGATCCTGGTGGTCTATAGCACACCCCACGCACTATCTCAGGGGAGGCTCTAGTAGCTTTCTTCCCCAATGTGATTTTGCCCAGAGTCTGGTCTTATCCATTCCATCCCTTCTTATTTCTTTACAGTCTACCTCATCATTGCTATACAATGCTACTCCACCACCTTTGCCTTTATTTCTGTCTTTCCTAAACAGCACATACCCTTCAATACCTGTACTCCAGTCATGACTACTATTCCACCATGTTTCGTGGTGACAGTGCGATTCTCCTGTCTATCCCCTGTTCCCTCTGGCTGCTAGTCCTCTTGATTCCTATTCACCCTTGCAATCCTCTGCAACCCATCCCGTATCCTCCTGGGGCTCATGTTTGATGTTGATATCTCCATTGACTCTTCCCCTCTTCCTATAGGACTAGCTGCTCTTCTCTTCTTCCTTGCCCTCTCACCTTCAGCAACCACCTGCTGTGCCCCTTTTTCATTTTCCAACTCTGCAGACCTGTTCCTGAGCTCTATTTCTCCTTCACTAGCCCATCTTTTCCTCTGCCTGGTTCTCTTAGTCACATGCTTCCACCGTCCACTTTCCTCACCCAGCAGTCTCCCCTCAGAATTCTTTGGTCCTGCTTCCATCTGCAAGTCTGAGCTTTTCCATTCAGACTTCTCATGGACATTTTCTTAGGGAGCGGGCAGTGGTTCTTTCTCACCTTTTGGCCGGGGATAGTGGCAATGTGTCGTTTTTCCCGGCTGAGCGGACAGTACTGTGGGGAATGCGGCTACTACCTGCCATATCTGTTCTTGCTGCATAGGGTTGAGCTCTCGGCCAATGGCTACCATGCCTGGCTCCTCGTAGTTGCCAGCTAAGGGCCCAAGTTTGGGTTCTGGGGGGTATGGGGCAATCATAAAACCCTCGCGGTCCTTCCACACCTTCAGCAGGTTTACGTGGTATACTTGGGTGTCCCATCGACATCCGGCTCTCATAATCAATGGGCCCCACCCACCTAGGGTGACCAGCTGTCCTGATTTTATAGGGATAGTCCCCAAAAGGAGTGCCAATCACTGGTAAAGGCACCAAGGGGGCCCTGGGTACCCCCTTTGGGCTGGCCTTCTGGCACTCTGGGCAAGAGGTACAGTAATCCCAGACCTATTGGTGTATGCCTGGCCAGAAAAACCGTTGGGCTATTCTTAGGAAGGTCTTTTCTCGCCCCAAATGACCCACCCAGGGGACCGTGTGGGCTAGGCGGAGCAGCCCTCTTCAGAACCTTTGGGGGACCAACAATTGGCACACCTTGGCTCGGGTCTCTAGCTCCTGGGCCACTCGATAAAGTAAGTCTTTGTGGATCTCAAAATGGGGGCCTTAGGGCCGATATTGCCGAGGATGGACCTCTCCGTCCTGGCTGACCGCTTGTTCCCAGGCTCGACTAAGGCTGGAGTACCCTCTCTGTTCCTCCAAAAAATCTCCATCAATATCCAGCCACCTCGTCTCTTCCCCTGTCGGACCGTCAGTCGAGGCCTGGCTCTCCTTGGTTACTTCAGGCCCTCTCGATGTCCCCTCCAAAAGGTCGTGTGTCTCCCAAAGTGGGCTCTCTTCCTCTTCTCAGGCTGTCAACTCCACCCCCATATAAGACTGGTAAAACCCGGCCAGTTGCGGCCCAACACCACGGGGTACGCTAATCTAGGGGCCACCCCCATTAAGCAATGCAACTTCTGTTGGGCGACCTCCAGTTGCACCCAGACGGTGGGGTAAGACTTCACGTTTCCATGTATACATTGTAACTGTATCGGGGCCCCGGTGGAAAGGGAGTCCTCTACCAGTCCCATGCAAATGACAGTTTGGCTGCACCCCGAGTCCACCAGTGCTGAGGTTGGGGTTCCCTCCACTCGCACCGGGATCACCATCTTCATCGGCAGGTCCTTCCGGGCTCGTCGGTCCGTCCTTCTGGGCTTGTTGGTCCGCTGTCAGGACCTGTCCATAATTACAGTCCATGTAGGGGCACTCTCTCCTGAAGTGCCCCCTTTGTCCACACTGGTAGCATCTATCGCGATTCCCCTCCATGGGTAGGGTGCCTTGCGGTAGGCTTAACTCCCCAGACGGGTCCTCTTGGTCCCGGGACAGGTGCACCCCTGAGGGGCCCCGGGCCTTGGGGTTTGTTGGCAACCCCGACTGTCGAATGGGCAAACGGGGACCTCTTCCGCCGGTCATATGCACCATCCCTTCTGGAGGTCGGTCTCCCCCTCCTGAAGTCCTTGTCTTAAGACCCGCTCGCTCTTCCGGCTCCACCGCCATGTAGTCTTTGGCGAGGGACATAGCCTCTGTGAGGGTCTTCGGCCGGTGTTGCTGCACCCACTCCTTCCCCCCGATGGGCAGGATCCAGAGGAACTGCTCCAACGCCACAGTCTTGGCTACCTGGCAACTAGTACGGCGATCCGGCTCTAGCCACCTCCAACAGAGGTCGCGGACCTTCTGGGCTACTGCCCGTGGCCGGGCTCCTGGCGGATATTTCTCTCGATGCAGCCTCTGCCAGTACGTCTCTGGACTGATGCCCAGCTGGTCTAGGATGGCAGCCTTAACCTTCTCATATTGCATTGCCTCCTGTGGGTCAAGATTGCGGTAAGCGGCCTGCGCAGGGCCCGTTAAATACGGGGTGAGAATAGTGGCCCAATGTTAGAGGGGCCACTGAGTGGCCGTAGCTACCCATTCAAAAGTTACTAAGAAGGCCTCGGGGTCATCCCCATCTTAGTCAGCCGCACCAGTATTCCCCCGCAGCCCTCCCCTGGCCCTCCTCTGGCTGGGTTGGGGGGTAGGACTGGCTGCCATCTTCAACAAGGTCACCACCTGTTGAAAGAGTCAATCTTGACTTACTTGCTGCTGGGTGGCTAACTCCCGAACCAGCTATTGCTGAGATTCTTGTTGCTTTGCTGCCTGCAGTTACTGCTGTGCAGCCAGTTGCTGTAACAGCTGCGTCTGCTGTTGTTGCTGTTGTATAACCTGTTGCTGCAGGTTTTCCAGCAGCCATTTTAGGAGCTTGTACAGGTGGGTCCTTCTAGCAGGCCCTGGTCGATGCCCACATTCTCCACCATTTATGGCGGGTTTTGTACCTCGTCAACCCCTTCGATTCAAGGGAGGGTGAGGTTAACCCCGCCTCCTTGCATCTACATCGGTTCTACTACCTCCCCGGTAGTCAGGGCTGTATGGCCCAATGGCTGGAGTCTCTCTAAATGCTCTTCCCCTGGTGGGATAGTGCAGCCCAGCGGCCAGAGTTCATCTATCTCCTTGAGGTAAAAGAGGGGTCAGTGAACTATATCATCACCAAAAGGGGGGGAGGGGTTAGAGACCCCCAGTAGGGGATCCTGGGCCCACCCACCTTTACCAGGCTCCAACCCAGGGCCCTGTCAGTGACAGCGTGATCTGCCACGTGTCAGCGGGGAATCCTACCGCAACACGCTGCCCTCAGAATGGTGGGAGATACCACTCCCTTTCCCTTCCCTGGGTCACTTGCTACCCGTTCTCCAAACGTAGCAGTCCCTGTGGCATCAGGATTTCCAGGTTCTTCAGATTCTCCCTGGGGTTCCAATAGCTGCCGGCCTCTGGTCCCAGTCCCTAGCTCCTCAGCTCTCTCCGGTAAGGGTCGCAACTGCTCCTGGGCTGGAGCCTCTGCTAGGCATCCTCCTTCCTCAGCCACCAGCCCTGACTGAGCAGCTATGCAGGCTTTTATACTTTACTCCCGGTTTGCGCATGCCCAGCAGAGCCTCAGGGGCGTGGCTTCTTCTGCCAGCAGGGAAGGGTTAACCCTCTCAGTCCCAGTGCGGGGCCAGTCCACCCTGTCACACATCCATACAAGTGGGCTGAAATAAGGTTGTTGGGTAACTAACTCTGGCATTTATTAACTTTTGAGTGCTTAACTCCGTAACCTTAATATTCTTCTAACATAATTTATCGGTGTGTGACTTTAGAAATACAGTGTGATCATGTAATTAAAGACTATTATGATGCATAATTGCCAGAGATAAAGTTTAGGTTAAGACTAAAGACTAAGCAGATTTTGTTTATTTTGTATCATATTTTTAAAAATCTGGTGTTATGGGAAGGCTAGAATAAAGAGAGTTGCATTTTTCTTTGAAGGAGTTAAAGTTCATGGTCATCCCCTTTCTTTCAGGGATGGAGTTCCTGATTTGCTGACCAATTACTGTGAAAGTTGTCTTTCCTACACACGAGTTCACTTTTGAGGTTGACAGTTTAAATTTTCCAGTGGAACATAGCTGTCATAGGAAATCATGATCACAGAGGCTGAGATGGTCCCTGTGCAACCTGCTGTCTGTTGGCTATGTTCCCTATTCACAACAGGGACACGTAGGTGTAATAACTCAATTCACCAATCTTTACAACAAGAAATAATTGATTGCCAGTAGCTGAGAAACCCTTTACCTGCCCACATTAATGTAACATATTTAAAAATGTAACTATATATCTGAATAAGTTAACATTCGTAAATTTACTGGGAACCTTAAAGTATATATATTTCAAAAATATATTACTCAGATTGATTTTAATAAACTAGGAAGCTAAAATTTCACCCAATCTAAGAGACAAATTTGCAAAATTACTTTATCCCAACTGCCTATAATTTGCACGCACCGTTATTTGTGCAATGAAACAATTTGCATGTCCAAGCACCTAAATCAGCCAGTTAAAAGCTACCTATTCTGCATGAACAGATGATATGTTCACGCAGCTTCAGAGAGGTTTTTGAAAATTTGACCCCAGACATTGCAGGACTGGTTTGCACGAATATAAATTTGGAAACTCCTAATTTTGAACAAAATAAAAATTACCATCAGAAGCTGACAATAAAATACTTTCCCCCTCTCTCCTAATATTAGAATTATTTTAGATATTGGCAGAAACTTTCCCCCTTCAGAAAATAAACTTCTGATTTTCCTCTGTCTTTCTCAGGCACGTTGAGCTGACAGCTCCACAAGCAAGATGGCTGCCATCAAAAACCAAAGCCTTCAGCTGAGGGTCATGTGATCTAATCTCTCTTCTTTAGGATCTCTATGAACACAGCAGCAAGCAGTCTAACAGCCAGTGCTGCAAGCAGACTTGCTGAAAGCTCTGAAGACCTGAAGGTTTTCTGCAATCTGTGGAGCGTTAAGAATACGGATAGATGAAATGCATGTTGATTCTATTACTTGGATGCTCCGTCATGTATTATAATTTTTAAAGAGAATTGTGCTTGATCTGGGGGTACACTCACAGAAGGTCACATAGGATTATGGTGGGTTTTTTTGGTTCATTGAAGACTGGAGTGGTATCTGTTTTAGGATTTAAAAATTATATTTCATGGGAACCAGCTGGTGCTCTGTGGAAGCCATTGGACATTCATTTACTTTCCTCTGAATGGAGTTTAAGTGTCTTCTTACTATCAAGTGAGCAAGAACATATATGCAAAATTAATTCATTTTTCACAGTAAGAAAAGTGGATATAGTGTGTTAGGACAGTTGTAGGGGACTTAGCACTGAAAAAGAGATGCTTTTCCTCTCTTTTTTGAAAAAGCTAAGCAAAGACTGAGAACAGGGGGAAATAACATAGTTGATTTTTCTGTAAGTTTTCCAATCCTATTTTAATGTACAATAAGTTGTTTTTATTATGATCTGCTGGGAGGGCGATGTATGGTGTGGACTGGATTTTTCTCATTCATGTTTGTTGTGGTAAAACATGCTGAGGAAACACTGTGACATGGAGAAACAAGAAATATGGAAAAAGTAATAGCAGGGCAGAGTCATGTTTTTTCCCCTTCTTTCCTTTCCTGAGTATAATGATTCATGAGGTAGAGACATGACAACTCAAACCTGCTTTCCAGGACACAAATTCAGTGAAGACTTTGCTGGGTACAATCAACTTGGCTTTATTCACAAAAACAGTTCTTTTGCCTGTACGCTCTGTTCAGTGGAAAGCATTGGTTCAATCATGTGTGATTATTAGGTAGGGAGAAGGAAGAAAGAACACTCACCATGGGGTACAATGGAAGCTGGATTTCAAGAAATGAAAGTGACCATGCCCTCTATCAGGATGTCACCAGAGCTTTAGAAATTAGGAATGTGTCTAATACACAAATTGTGTGGAACAATAAAAGCTACAATGGGATCGGACCCTTGGAAAATGGGGAGTACAGTGAGGAGCAAACCTACAGACATTTCACTACCACTGTGCAAATTGTCATCTTTATAGGCTCTCTACTGGGTAAGTAAGCATTGTTGCAGTTTTTCTGTTATGTGGGTTTACTGGTGGCTGCAGTCTGTGACCCACACCCAAACAATAATTACTGTGGTCACAAATTACTACTACACAGGCAACTCTTGGTTGTCATTTTAGGTTTTTGCTGTCTCCTTAAGTGGAATTAATAAAGTGTGCCTTCGAGTTTTCTGTAGGTTTCTGATGCTCTCTGTAATATAGATTACAGCTATCAAAAATTAGTCAGTTGAAATTGCCTTGATATGCATATGTATTATTTAGTAAACTTTCCCTTGGGAATTCAAATAAATGAAAGGATAATGCATTGAGTGTGCTCTTATTTTCAAAGGTAATGGGATATACAGTAATTATAATAAAAATTAATTTAAAATGTTTTGGATAAATGATACTGAATTTTTATATTTGAGACTGTCAATTTTACATTGGTCTCCTGCAGATTTCAACTGAATCCTTTGTAAATGTTTGTGCTGTAAGTTATCCATGTGATATTGTACTTATTTGCTATGTAATAGCTAACAAATTAAAATAATTAAGATCATATACAGTTTAGATACATGGTAGTAACTGCTAATATATTATTACATAACTTTACCCATTTGTATATATTTGCTTTCTAAGGATTTGTAATGTGGCATTTTGTTATCAATTACATTTTCTTTTCTTTCAAGAGACAAGCCAAGACAGGCATTAGAAACAGTTTTGTCTGTCATACCTGTAGGTGATCTTGATTTATACAGTTTGGGAGCTCAATACAATAGATTTTAATAAAATGCCACTAAGAGGTAAGTCATGCAAAGCCAATTTATTTTAATAAGATGAGACTTTTCACATAGGAGCTGATCCTGAGAGCTATTGAGCACCTGTGGCTTTGACTGAGTTCTAAGGGACTTGCAGATGGTCCCCACCTCTCAGGATGAGGCTACAGTCTTTTGGACACAACTGACTGAACGTTTTCAGTGGTGCTAGGATATATTTTGGTGGTGGTGATAATTTTAAAAATTAACTTCTCCCTGGTAACAATTCATATTTCTTTAGTCTACCTTAAATGATTATACTGAATAGTTTCCTTTCTAAATACAGAATAAGAAAAGTCTTGTGATAAAGACATTGGACTAGGACTCATATTCAAGTTCAATTTCTAGCTCTGCCACAGCCTTGCTGTGTGACACTGAGTAAGTCACTTACTCTTTGAGCCTTAGTTTCCCCTTCTATAAAATGGAGATAATTCTTCTTTTCTTCTGCCTTTTGTCTGTCTTGTCTATTCACACTGTAAGCTCTTTGTGGTATGGATTCCCTTACTAGGAGTTTGTACAGTTCCTAGCACAGTGGATCC